AAAAAAAAAAAAGTTTTTTCTGTTAGATCCTGACCACAGTAACTTGTTCCACATCTGCCCTCTGTCACTTCAACATAAGACGGACATCGACGTGAGTGAACGTGCAGGACAGTCCTATCTGCTGTGTGGCCACGTCTCATCCTTCCGGGGAAGAAGCCCGCAGCGCATGGCACTGCATCAGGGCGGCACTCTCTCAGTGAAAGCCCAAGAGCAGGGTTACGTGGGCTCTGCTGTGTCCCCCGCTTTTACCCTTCAGACATACAGCATACTCAGCTAGCTCCCCATGGGCCGGGGACTGAAAATGTGGGCCACATCTGGTTCATGCTTATAAAGGAGCCCAACCCCCCTCCATGAGTTCAGGCCGAGCAACAGAGCTTAATGCAGGCAGCTGGAGGTGACACTTGAATTTCTGCCTCCAGCTAAGGCCATGCCACCCTCAACGAGCCAGATCTCGTCTGATCTCAGAAGCTAAGCAGGGTCAGGCCTGGTTAGTACTTAGATGAGAGACCCTCTAGGAATACCAAGTACTATATGCATTAAAAAAAAAAAAGAAGAATTTCTGCCTCCATAATACATGCATGCCTATGGTTCTCAACTGCAAGGCCAGGCAGGACTGTCTGCTGCCCATCATGCCCATGCTCAGTGTGTGCACAGGCTCACTCAGGCATTGGTGGAAAAAACATGAGTGAGACCTGTCCCATCTTCCCCAGAATGAGGGCAACCAGGTCAGCAGGCCCGAGCTTCCTTCCCAGGGCCTTGGGGCGGCTGCGTGATGCAGCACTGCCCCCAGTGCCACTGCAGCCCGCAGCCTCCCGTGCGAGGACCTTGTGCGCATGGGAAGGGTGGACAGTGGCCTGTGAGGCCATAAGTAAGGGAGGGGCACAGGATCTACAGAAAATGGCACTGCCATTCACCCAGTGTCCAGTGTGCAGAATGCCTAAGTGATGCCTTCACATGGCACTTGCAAATGTTCACCTCTAGAACTCGTGCTGTAATTCTGGAAGCTGCCAAGTCAGACAAATGTTAGCCATGGCCTCGCATGTCTGACTCCAAAGCTACACACAGAAGTAGAGAACACGTTTTCCTCACTCCCCAAAAGCACTGTTTGCCCATCCCTTATTTTTCACTAAGGTCTCTTTAAGTGTCTTAAGTAGTTCTCACTTAAGGTAGGCCCCAACGTCTCTATCATCACTGGCAACCGCTCAGATGCAGTGAGACAAGAGACCAAGTGCCCAGCACATGCCTGCAGCACAGGCCATGACCCTCCTGATCAGTCTCAGGTCACTGAGTCAGTAAGACGACAGTTTGGACAATAAACCCATATCCTCAAATGTCCTCTTAAAATTTCTGACTCTGCCAATCTACCCCAACAGTGGGTGTTTATAGGTAGCCAAACAAAAACAAATAAGCACAACACTACAAATTAAGTTTCTGCTACATGTTACTTACGTTCAATTTTTCTCTTCATCCTGGGACAGACAAAGAACCAGACGGTAAGGGCACAGAGAACCGCACAGCCCACCGAGATGAAGACGGTACCCCACAGAGGAAGTCTGTCAAAGCCCAGCACTAGGAGATAAAATGGTGCATCTTGAAAACCCCAGGGCCACAGCCCCTGCAAAGACGTGTAAATCCGCCTGTGGGGACGTGGGTTCCCCAAGCCAGGCCCATCACCCTTCATGGCAGTTGCCAGCCTCAGGTTCACGGATCTATTGAGCTCGTGCAGATATCGGAAAAAAACCCAGCAGTCTTGAAACCCATGCCAGTCCTGCCCACCTTCAACAGCTGCTAGACTGCCGTCCCCCAAGCTGCTTCACAAACTAGCCTTGGCCTGTTTCTTGCCTTGCACAACGATGGAATTACTATACCCTGAGAATCTGCAACTAGTTGTGAAAAACCAGAACCGTCCCAGCCTCCAGATGGTGGCCACACAGAGTGTGGAAAGGTGCTCCTTGTCACATCAGCCACACCAATTTGATTTTCTGTGGAGCCCTGGCAGCCACTGTACTAGCCTCCAGCAAAATCCTCTAACAAGATTATCTTAGATTCATTATCAAACTAAGATACAGAAAACAGAGATATTATTTATCAGAAAATAAGAATAGTTCAAAGGGCCATCTTTCACAAAAGGAAAATAGTTCGAGTAGTTTCATCCACAAGCCCTATCTTAGAGAGACTTATCAACTTCTCACATGGCTCAGGGACCATTACTATTAGTCACCATCTGCTTATCATTTATTTAAATGCCAAGCCTCTAGCCTGTATCAACATAGCAAAACACCATAGAATCCTGTTTAAGCCTAAAAAAAGTTCTAAATTATAGTTTATCCCAGAAGAACTTAATTACTTCTGGCTGTTTTGCTTATTAGATATTAAATCACTTATAAAATAAAAACCTTACTGCCCCTCCCTAAAATGATTCTTCTTTAAAAATCGTATAACAGTTTAAATGACTATATCTTCATTTTAATACTATTTTAATCTATCTCTCACAATTTAAATTTGCCAAGTCAAAAAATTCAAAAAAGAGAAATGAGACTGATTTTCCTTGTAAATGACCCACATGGGTAGAGCAAAAATACCCAAGTTCTGTTTTCAAAAATCATAGAAAACTTAAGTTTCTAATTTTACTGCTACCACAAAAAACACCAGTGCTTGGAGCTTCACAGGACACTTCTTGGTTTAGCATCAAGACCCTAATTTACAACAGAATGGAAAAGCAGCATGCAAGCTAGTCCTTGCCTGTACTATTTGGTAAGGAGGCTGGTGTGTCCAAGGAAGACCAATATTCCCAAAGGGTTGTCCATTTTCTCTCCTGATTAGCCCAAGAATAAAGACAAGGTTAAAAATACTGAGCTAACTCTGTTTCTGGTTCGTGAAGCTGCCTCAGTGAGCCTCAAGCAGGTCAGAAATGAAATTAATTTAGTGGGCCAAGATGAGCACGATAAAAATCTAAAAAGAGTATCTGAAAATGTGAGTGTAGAACACGCAGTGCGGTTCTGTAGCCCCCAGGTACTACCCCAGTCCCCTCTCCTCCCCACTTCGCTACATGCACAAGTGTCCTGGACATCTGGACAGCAACGGACACAACATTCTTCCAGCCTGTGAACCTAGACAGCACTGCTGAGCTGATGCCCCACAAGCTACAAGGTGTCAGTCTTGACAGTCACTAAATTAAACATGTATCATAACTCCCGGTTGCCTGAGCCCAAACATAAAGTAATTGATAGTTCAATCTTTACATTCTCACAAATTATTTTCCTCTTAGCTGCACTCTTCTTCCAAGTGCACTTAGACCAGGTGTTAAACATCCCAAGTCTTCTCATTCAAGCAGATTCAGAGGACAAAATTTAGCACTTAGAAACAAAAGGAATTCCATGCATGTGGGAGAGAGAAATAAGAACATCCAGCGAAGATGTCCTAATTGGCTGACAACCGAAGACCAAACATGACTAGGGGCTCTTCAGTGGTCAGCGGTGGAGACTAGGATCGAGTGCAGTGTTTTTAGCACAGACAGGAGAGAGGGAGGGAGAAGACCATGTACCGTGGGTCCTGTGAAGACTAAAGAGTAAAGGCCTGCAGGGACTTAGAATCTGAGCAGGTCTCTGGTTGAAAGCCTATCTAGGTTAACTCAGCACACACTAGCCTGCAGCCTTCTGAAATGGGTGCAGGCCAGCCACCTTCTAGGAGATTTCAGCCCTGTAAAGCAAAAAGGGGTAAATTGGGCATTTAATGCAAGTTTTGTAAACAACTTTAAATTCACATCTAAATATTCTGACGTGTACTTACAAGGTGCTCCCGTATACATGATGGAAAACAGGTTTATCCCAACCGTGCAGGCATAGAACACTGGCAAAGCTCGCAAGCCATTAGGGACTGGATCCGCCTGTAAAATATCATTGAGACCAAGACCGTAAAAGCTCTGAAAGCCACCCAGGGACCTAGATCCTTGTGAAAGAGCATCTTTGGGGATCCCAGTGCCAGTGACCACCTCTCCACTGAAGCTCCCAAGGCTAGCTGGGCATCTCTGACACCTCCTCCAGGAAGTCTGCCCGTCAAAGCGGATTTCTACACCTACTTGAAGTTAAGTCTGTGTTTGGCTTTTTGTTTTGTTTTGTTTTTTGGGTTGCTTTGTTTTTGTCTTTTGCAATTTTTAACAAGACTACCTACACCAGGGACTGGTGGGTAAGGAGTTTCAATGCCCAGTGTTCTGAGGTGCCTGCCATCCAGTTGTAAATCTGAACACACACCTGAAGATGATCTAGACACCTGTAAGAGCTGTCAAGAAGAGCCCATGAGAGTTGTAATATTCCTGACTTTTACTACCTGCAAAGATTTCTTAGAAATACAATGTTCAGTAGAGTATACCTGTAGCCACCCTGCTTAGATACCTGATAAACATGCCGTTATCAGCGATTCACTCAAGCACTAAGGTAAAAAATCAATCGTGCACTGGTTCATCCCTCGCTCAACAGAACACCAAGCACGTTTCTGAGCACTGAAATAAGGGAGTGAATGAGACACAAGAGCTGCCCTCGAAACTGACATTAACATTCTAATATGGAATAACATAAAGTACTAGCAAATGCTATGAAAAAAACAAAGGAGGATAAGGGGGCAGTGATGGAAGGGGGTTCGGGAGCAAGTGTCAGTGGAGGAGAGACACGGATGTGTAAGTCATCAAGCATGCACCACCTAGGGGTAAAGAAGGAGCCAGCCACCTGGCTACCTGGGGAGCATAACATTCCAGACAGAGATGTCAGCAAGAGCAAAGGCCCTGAGGCAAAAACTTGAAATGCTTAAGGAACAGCAAGGAGGCCAGCGTGACTGGAAACAAAAAGAGTCTGAGCTGTAACAAATGTGTATTGATTGCACAAGAAAACAGAGTCCAATACCTAAAGAATGAGAGCCCGGACCCCAACACAGGGGAGGGCTAAACTGCAAAGACGACAGCCTAACATTTACTGCTATCTTGATCACAATCCAATGGAAAGTCCAGGGGAGGAAGAGACAGAGGAAAAGGCCCAAACGTGATTCTAAAGTTCTGACAAGAACAACCAGTATACTGGGAAGACGGTGGCAGTGGCTTAAGATCCATCAAAGAAAAGAAAGTACAGGTGCCACTCCAAATCAGCAGATGCCCCCGCCCACTTGAAAAGCTGAGTTGGAGAGACTGCTAGACAGACAAGCCATGATAAGAATAGTAAATGCCCTACAGAACCTAGGCACCTGAGCCACTTGGCCATGTGGGTCGCACCCGAAAGGCCGTCGACGGTATGAACCTGAGGTACTTATACATTTTTCTTCTGAGAAAAATCTCCAAGGGACCTGAGAGCTCCTTTAGAGTCCCCAATATCAAAACCCAGTAGGACTTTACAGACAGAAGTAGGAACTTCCTGTAACAGATTTTCAAATACAATTTGGTGTTTTGTTACCAGACCAAATTGTAATTGGTTGGTCAGAGTACAGAGAAAGTAAGCCAAGTGTTAATGTTTCTGTACGGCCCCCTTACGTATTCCGAGGTATCCAGTGATAAATTAGCCAGGAACAGGGCAGGGAGTAAATGACACTATGTTTACCATAAAATACAGGCTCCTGGCTTTAAAAAGTTAGTTTGTCTACGGCCATGCCACCCTGAACCAGCCCAATTTCATCTGATCTCAGAAGCCAAGCAGGGTCAGGCCTGATTAGTACTTGGATGGGACCACCTAGGAAGACCAGGTGCCATAGGAGTAACCAAATTTAAAAAATAAGGGATTGTAAGCTGACAAGGTCCTTGCAATCTGTGAGGTCAACCAAGAGTTGACTCGCCTAAAAACAAATAAAAATAAAAAAATAAATAAGTCACAGTTCACAAGAGTCTAGGAAAAAGGGAAAACATGAGCAGTCCCTCTCCCCTTCACTCCCTCAGTCGCTTCCAAGAAGTAACCAGGGCTGACAATTTAATGAAATACTTATTACCATATGACCCATCGAATACTTTATCTGGAAATAACGTATGGACCCACCCTCCATTTATGTGCCCCCATCTGAATTCAACCAGAGCAGTTCATGTTCCACTCACTCAATGCTCCAGGGAGCTTCGTCGTAAAGAATCTGAGCTTGAAAACATGTCCTAGGTCTATTTGATGTGCTTCCTGGCAGAAGGCGCCACCAAGGTCATTTTCTCTGACTGGGTGTACTGCTTATTCCCCGTCCCTAACAGAACTACCTCGCCACCATTCTGCCTTTTCTGTGCCCTAACAACAAACACTCGGAAAATAAAAACTTTTGAAAAGCATTTCCAATGTTAACTTTAAAAATGGACACTTATGTTGGAAGATTTTAACAGCCAGGACCCCAAAAGTTACTAGTCTAAGGATGTTTTCTTGAGATTTAAAACCCAACTAACCAAAAAGTCACACTAGTGAGCTGAAAACTCATCTGCTGTTGAAAGGTTGGCGTGTGTGCGTGCGCGCGCATGCACTCCCATCCCCCAGGGCAGAGGGTGGGGTGGAAGGACTGAAGTAAGAAGATCCTCAGTCAATATTGTGGCAAACACTACTTCAGTCATTCTCAGTCCTGCCCACCCTCACACCCACACAATGAAGGGAGCTCAGAAGTTAACATATCTAAGGAAGCACTCAGTAACTGGGATAAAGTACCTGGCAGGCCTTCCTCAAATGAGAGGTCTGGGCACCTCAAAATCACCCTCTGCATCTCAGGGCACCATCTCCCTCCAGGGAAGAAGACAAGTTTGTTTAGTACCGGAACACACAAGGCACCAGGACCAAGTACTTCCCAATGACGGCACAGAAGCCCAGGACGAGGCCTTGGGGGCAGGACCCCAACAGGACCCTATCGAGTCCCCCAATTCTCCAGTATGAAGCAAGCTGTGTGGCTCTGCTGAGAATGCTGAAAGGCCTGGTCTGGGCCACTAGTAAGCCTCCCACTGAAGCACCAGTGTCACCCATGACAGCTCTGGGGAGTGGGAGGGCCAGTCTAATCATACACCTTCGCTGAATAAACATCACCAAACTCTGAGTCAGTCAGGGTTCATGAACTAACTGTTTACTCTCAGTCGCATTATGTCAGGCTGCAGATACATCAAGCTTTCCAAGTATTAACCTGCTTTACTCTACCAGACTCATGGCGCAGGGAAAGGGGTCGAAAGCCAGTTTTCCACCCAGTGTCTATGCAGGAGAGGCAGAGTCCTGTCCTGAAGCAGCAGAATGAGACCAGAAGTGGCTCTGTGCAGTCTTATCCCTGGGGATCAAGCTACCATCAGTCTTCACTCAAGATTTCTATAGTTTAGGAGCATTTTAAGAACTTACAATGGACAGTTAAGAGCCATTCACCTCAGAAAAAGAACAACTTTGTTTCCTGAGAAAAATGCATTTATTCTTGCTGTAACTCAGTCCAATGACAACATCCCTTGTTGACCACTCTGGAGCCAGTATCAGACTTCTTGATAAAAGAAATGCTATCAGGTCCCTGAAAAGGGATTTTCAAATGGACAGGAAATTAAATGGTTGCCTAGATTATTTTTTATTTTGACAAAGAAAAACAAAACAAAAAGTGTCTTTGCTGGTTCTTTTTTCCTACTCTGAGAAATCAGTCTCATCATTGTGAGAGATGGAATCTTCACCAGAAGTTTATAAACAGGTCACGCTAACCAGCACTACCAAATCAACTAGGCAGACCCAGACACTCCATTTCACTGGCACAGGGGACACTGTGACTTGCTGAACCCCAAGCTTACAATTCAAAACAGTCTGTGTGATGGCGGTTTAAAATAGCACACAGCTAGACAAAGCCACCCTAATAAATTTCCCTAATTTTCCACTCCCAGTCTCCTTTATTCCTCAGGCGCAACACAATGTTCAATTTTCCATCCTGACCACCCTCTTGAGTACCGAAAACTCGCTTCTTTCATTCAACTTAGCACACAAAAAAGGTGTACAGAGAATATAAGGAACTATTTAACTTTCCAGGACCACATAGATACACACCAATCACACTGTAAGGGTGCTATTTCAATGACATTGACTATGACCTATTAAAGGCCATAAAAGGGATCTGGAAAGAAAGATTACCTTATGGAGGATGAATGCTCGAACGAGGAAGAATAAAATTCCAGACATGATGCCAGAAAGCAGCGGAGAGACGAACCAAGACATCACTGGAAAAAGACACATTAAAAACAAATGTCAACTAAGGAACTGGGTACCAAAACACTTTAAATTTCAGCAGTCTGCCCCTCCCTTTCACACAACACACTCCCACACATGATGCCACGAACACGGCAAGGAGAAAAATTAAGACGCCATATATTAAGATGCCATTTAGAAGTATACGTACCAATCTTTATCAGCTCAGACCACCTGACACCCTCCTGACCCTTCGCCACAAGGGAGAAGCCAATGGTGGCACCGACAATACAGTGGGTCCCAGAAATAGGGAGCCTCAGAAACGAGGCCACCAGCTGCCACGCAGCAGAGCCTGAAACAGTCAAGTTTTAGGAAACAATCAAGTTTTAGGAAGGAAATGGCAAAATTACACTGTGCATTCTAAAGGAATCCTGTGAAGAGCAGGCAACTGCTGCCCATCCCTGAGCTGGGCCCACCGCAGCCCAACAGCCCACCACTCACCGAACATGGCACTGACGGAGCCCGCCATCAGTAGCTCCTGCGTCGTGTTGTACATCTCCACGTCGATCAGGCCCTTCCTGATGGTCTCGCTCACTTTGGCCCCTAGCAGCACGGAGCCCACCGTCTCAAAGATGCTAGCCAGGACGCAGGCCTGCTTCAGGGTCACCACCCCCGAGCCCACAGCCGTGCCGAATGAGTTCGCAACGTCATTGGCGCCCACGGAGAAGGCCAGAACGAAGGCGATGACGAAGCCCAGGACCAGCATCCACAGGTAGTCCACCAGCGGGCCGCTGGCCGCGGCCACGGTGCTGGCCACCAGCGTGGCGGCGGTGGACGCCATCCCCACAGCAGCGACCTGAACTAACAAGCACTGCTGCGCGGCTTTCAAGCGTGTAAACAGGATGAGAGTATGAGGTATCACAGATGCTCTAATAAATATGTATACTATACGATATTAAATACTGTAAACGTAAACTGCGGCAGACACGACTGGTCACTGCTATACGCTGCGCATCGGCATCTGCGGTCCGGGGCGCCTCGGGCTCCGGAGGGCTAGCGGCGCGGCGCGAAAGGCCATGGCAGGGACGCGCGGGGACGCGGACTCATCCTGAGGGGACACGAGACCACAATGGCGCGCGCCCATCGCCCCCGGCAGGACGAGCGGGCCGCACGTGGCGGACTCTCCCCGCACCCGCCCGCCCGCGCGCGCCCTCCGCGGGCGCCTGAACAAACCTCTCCTGCTCCCGCGCGCCGGGGCCGCCAAAAAGGCAGCGGGCGCAGGTTGGGGGGACAGCACGAGGCCGGAACCCCGCCCGCCCGGGGAAAAAATGCCCGTCCCCGCTGTGCCCCACTCACCACAGGAGACGAGGACCGAGAGGGGACAGGGAGGTCCAGGCGGTGAGCACTCGGTGCACAGGGCTGGGTCCTCCGGGGAGCAACGCGGCGCCTCAGAGGCTGAAAATAAGGAAGAAGGACCACGGGCCAGCAACCATCTCCCCGGCGGGATGGGCCCCCGCCTCTCCTTATAGCCGGCGCATGACCCACGTGACGCGGCGCGCGCGCGCGCGCGGGCCCGCAGA